CGGGCGCCGCTCCTGCGGCGGAAAGGGGCTCTGGAAGCGCGCTCTGACAGAGGCTTCTTTGCTTTTCCCCCCTCTCATGGAGTTCCCCCCGCTCCCTCTGCCTTTGCTCTGGCCGCCACTGCAAATAACCCCTCCTCCGTCCCTCCATGCCACCCTTCTCTTTCCCAGCCGCCCTGACATCTTGCTTCCTCGCTGGCAGAGGCGAGCTCCTGTCGCCGGCGAGGGTCAGCGCTTGACAAGGGCGCTTTGCTCGCTGCAGGTTTTCTCTCCCGTGCGTTCGCAGCCCTCCTGGGCATCACTCGCTCTGGCCCGACGTGCGAAGCGCAGCGGGGCGCTTGGTGTAAGGAAGCACAGAACGGGTCCAAACATGTTGCGTTTGGAGGGATGCAGTATTTTAAGTTACGCGCTCCTCTGACTATCAAGCCATCGCCTTCCGTGTGACCCAGCATGCTGAATTTGTCCCCTGGTAAATGACTCATGGCATGAGTCAGGGAGAAAAAATGGGGAGATTGGAAAGGTGAGTCAAAGTAATCTCACTGCAGGGCTGGGGGCTGTCCTTTTGACAGTCCGCAAGCGTGGCTTGTCCCGAGGATGCGCCAGCCTGCAGGTGCGTTAAGCCACCAAAGTTTTCCCAGTGTTTGTATGGTTTAATTCAGCCAGATCAGTTCCCGCCGTGATGCGATTAGCTCCGTGTGGGCATAAAGACTTGCCGCATCATGAGGTTAACCTACACCATAACTATTAAAAACCAAATATATTCCGGGCTTTTGGCCTCATGTTTTAAAGCTCTGAAGAGCTGATTTTTTTCTCACCTCTTCCTGGTGCCTGCAATGACTATCTTGAAACTGAAGTCTCAGCATTCACTAATTGCCTAGAGCTGGGAGTAAGGTTTTGGAAATGCCGAGTATCATGAGACTTCCTGTAGAGGTCATAGGGCTGGCAATTTTTGGAAACCTAGCTTTGAAAAACCATTTTAATAGCTCTTAGGTGACATCTTATTTCACAGTTTTTCCTTGTTCCCATTTAAAAAATCCCATGCGATCCTCCCTGACCTCAACATATGGATTCTAGGGAGCCCTTTTCCTCTAGACACACAGGATTTGCTGGTCTGTTGAACCTCCCTCCCTATTCTGCCTCTGCTTTGGAAAAAGCAGATCCTTACTTCAAAAATCAGCACCATATCAACAGTATGACCATTTAACCATTTATTTAAACAGACGGGAAGAACAATCCTACTGATGAAAAAGAAAAAAATTACACCTTCCGGACTAGAAGCAAGAAACTACAAAATCAAACTCTGTGCCAAGCTGCTATCACACCCCAGGTTTAGGTAAGTGCAGTTGCCTCCAAGTATTCAATCCTTGATTTGATTTCCATTAAGGGGCATCATTGCACTCAGACATCTGCTAACTAACCAAGCTGCTCCTACAAAATGACATAAATTGTTCTTATTCTACTGAAATGCTTGGCTGCTCGTATCTTGGGAGGATGGGGTTAATTTCTAATACATTAACTATATATATAGACAGATGATACGCCTACATATAAGCATTCACTGATGTCAAGCATTTCACAACCATGAGGCCCTTTTTCGAAAATCTTTTAATTCAAGGACTCCATGAGTAAATCTCGTTCCACAGGGTTAAAGAAAAGGAAAGGTTGGTATGTACTTGGACAGAAGCAGTAAAAAACCACATCCTGAAATTCAGCTGAATGTAGCTAATAAATGGGACTAATAGATTTTAGGAGAAGCAATAAAACATGTTTTGAAACACCCAATACACCCCAGGAACAGTCTGTATATATAAAAGAACTATAAACAGTGAGATGTAAATTCAGCAGTACGTTTTCCCCGTAGGGCTTGAATATGAATCTGATACGAACAGTCTGCTAACAGCTACACCTAATTCCAGAATTGATGCTACTTGCCTGAAAAATTCCTAAGACCATTTTTACATGTATTTAGTTACTTAGATGACTGTGTTCTTTGGAAATAACGTGCTGAAGTTTTGCTTCTCTGAAAGCACCACATGTTGTGCCATAGAGGTAACATACATCCATAATCGGAGTTCTTTATTCAGGGAAAAAAAAAGCTTACTTATTTGTTGCTGAATTCATCGTTAACTAACGCAGATTCTAATGTGATTGCACAAGACCATCACCGAGTTCTATTTAAGCTAATTTTCTTTAAGTGTTGTGCTGTGCTTAAGATGTTATCGATGTATAAACCACTTAAAGCCATGTGCAAGTTGTACAAAAAACAGCCTTAAGAAGGCTTAAAATCTGGGCTCTTCCAAAGGAAAGGTAAAACATTCATGTTCTTCAAGAAGGGTGAGAGACCACGCACTGAGCAGATGTCCCTTTGAAGCTGCCAGTCATCTCTTCCCCTAATTCAGGTTCAGTTCATGAAGTACAGTTCTCACCCTTTAGGACAATTCTTTCTCTCATCTCATAATGAAACTAACTACTCTGCACTGGAGGTAAGTACTTATTACAACATAAGTTATATTTGGCTTTGCCTCTTTTGCAAATCATTAGATTTTTTTCAAGCATTCCTTCCTATGCTTAAATGAGATACATCTATACGTGGGGAACTTTTATATGTACTAACACCAGCCTATGTATTTTATAACACACACACACACTTAAGAATAAAAATTGTTTATTAAAATAGTTATGAGGTCATATAGCTCACTCTTCACTATAAATATTAGTTCTCTTACAGATAAAACATGAAGTATGTTTGTGTAGGCATGGGGTTTTTTTCATTTTGATTTTTTAACACAAGCAAGGTATTCCCGTTTTTGAACATCCGTTTTTTATTCATCCACATGATCTTGAAAGTATTCATCCACAAGAGCGGATTTATCTTCTTCTCATTCCTGCCAAAAAGAAAACAAAAAAGGTAAAACCTGACTTTTTCCTAGTGGCTGTTGCACATTGTCTGTTCTGTGACGTTTTATTTTAGAAACCACAACAGGAACAATGTCTAATATGGTTCCATAAAACATGTAGCAAAACGTTCTGAAGAGCAATTTGTTTCTAGAACTATTGAAATTGTATAGGTCAAAATCTAGATCCAGATATTCTGCATACTGAAAGAGTACAGAACTGAATTAACAAATAGAATAAAAGCACTGGACTTGTTCCTTAGGAATTGTTAGCTGAGTAATAAAACCAGCCAGGGCTTGGAACAGATTTTAACACAGCAGTCTTCTATCATGTATTTTACATGACAGAATTTATTCCTAAGTTATATCTCATATACCACACATGGGTTCAACACAGGAATTATCAGGGGAGTTTGAACAGGCACGTAGGAAGAAATCTTAGGGATCTTAATGGTCCTTTCTGACCTTTGACGTTTAAAATTCCATTATTTTTGAAAACCAGAGCGTTACTTCTAAACACAACCATTTGATCAGTCTGCATATGCAAGATGATATTAAAGAATTTCACTTTTGTAGTTGTAAATGAAGACGATATAAGCATTGTCACTAAAAGACTGAACCGGCTTATTTTGAACCATACTAAGACAATAATTTATTAGCAAGGCAAAGAACGCATTTATATTACAACTTATATTATGGATCTGTTTTAATTTTTCACCTTATCATCAGAAGTACCTTACCTTTGGTTCTTTAAATTCAAGATCTTCTCCGTACTGAATGGTAAAGTCTATGTGCTGCAGAACTATGTTTATACTTTCCTCATCAGAGCGATCAAAAGGTAGAAATCGAACCATACCATAGTCATCAATCTAGAGAAAGGATTCAAAGGATGTTACTAAGAAAATGCAGTAAGTTAGTTCTCAATCACAGCACTCTAAGCCACTTCCTTAAGCCACGCTTACGTCTTCCTTGTCTGGACTGCTAAAATACCATTTAAAGCCACACTGCAAACCAATGGCGATTCCCCACTCAGAACACCTGGCTATCAGTCCCAAGTTCTGCGCAGTAGAAAAAGCCGTTTTCCAAAATTGCTAATAGACCAGGATTCACAGAAAATGTTTTGGCTACAATCCAAATGTTAGTACCAAGAAGCTTACGCTAATCTGAAAAAATAAAAAACTGAGTTAAAATAGGCAAAAAGTAAAATGCTCAAGTGCCTGAGAATCTTTTAGATCCTGGATTTGTTACTAAGTCTGGTAGGTAAATACACAGTTTCAGTGCGAGGCGGAGGAGAGTTATGACAGTACATACAGTATCTTTAACAGCAATGAAGTCAGCAACCATAAACCAATAAAGAGTGTGGTTTATAAATACAGGACTGAATTTAAGGGTACCAGTTAAAAAGCAATATACCTACCAATCCACATATAGATTTAGTCAATTTTTTAAACATTTTGCTTTTCAATATATTTGTAGAATCTTCAATCATAGAATACATATCTGGATCTAAGTACCTGGGAGAAACAAAGTCATCATTAACATCGAAAGAATCCTTGGCCACAGAGCAAATGAGTCACTGTGCTACCAAACCCATCTATCATGCTGTGATCTGAATGAACTAACTTCGTATCAGGAGAACTTAAAATGTTTAAAAATATTTTTATAAGTATTTGAATATCCCAGATTACAATTGCTAGTAGAAACAACTGAAGTGTTTTTTATTTTCTTTTTGCTAATGTACTTGTACACTCAAGAAAGCTTTGAAGAAGACCACAGGGAAAAACTTTAATTTTGTCATTTTAGCACAAACGTAAAAGTAACACATAAGTAATTCAGTATGTTCAGTATCAAAAAAACTGATGCGATCACCTCCGGTTTAGGTTTTGAAGTACAGTATCCTGGTGGGCGCAGTACCCTGGAATGTCATTCAGAATGACATGAAGTTATTCAAGATAATTATTTACAGAAAAATCCAGAGATAGGTACAAACACGGAGCTAGCCTTTTGACTCTGACTAAATTGTAAGCATCCTATCCAGACATTGAAAGACTATGTTCAATATAAAACAAATGCATCTTCTCCCATTTGAAAAGAGCATGTTTTAATTTAATACCATTAGACTGAATTTTGAGTGATGTTTACCTCAAGATATTACACTACAGAGTAAGTAATTTTTTGGAACTTACTTTTCTATTTCCTTCTTGGCTTTCTTGCTCAGCAAATCCATTTTGGTCATGATGTTAATCTGTGGAATCTCTAAAGATATCATTGCACTGAGTGCTGCCAGAATTCCAGAGATAAACTTAAAGAATATGAAAAATGATGTAGTCAAGTACAGAAAAACACAACACAAACATGCAGGACACTCCACCACACACCAAATCTAGCAACTATATGAAACATGGACACGAGGCCAAGTGGGGAGTCCTTCCCTCTGGTGGAGAAGGGAGGTGCAGAGCTTCCCATCTGCCATCTTATGCCCAGAGCCTCAAATCTGGATCTGCCACTGAAAAGGCCATTACAAAACTCAAATCCCATCTCAGGATTCTTACTGCTAGGCAGGGAAAGTGGCCTGCTCTGTCTCTCTCCAGATCTGAGAAAGCTCTCATAGAATCACAGAAGAATTTAGTTTGGAAGGGACTTTCGGAGGTTATCTGGTTCATACAACTGCTCAAACCAGAGCCAGCTTCAACATCAGATCGGGTTGCTCAGGGGTTTTGCCCAGTCAAGTTTTGAGTAGCTCCATGAACGTACACAACACATCTCTCTGTGCCCCTGTTCCAGTCTGACCACTCTTGCAGTGCAGGTTTTCTTTACATCCGACTGGAATTTTCTTTGCTGCAACCCGTGTCTGAGGCAGCTGAAGACAGCAATCAGATCTCCCCTGCTCAGCATTCTTGCCTCTGGGCTAAACAAACCCAGCTCCCTAAATTGCTCAGGTTTCTCGTTCTTTATCAATATGAACTTTTACAACAGATTTCAAGTGGGTACCTTAAAAGATTCCACCATAAACTGAGAATCCACCAGAAAAACTCCACAGACACGGAATTCCCACTGCTGAAGCTGCTCCACCAGCTGTTTCATCACTGGCAAATGTGTATAGAGTTCGATCTGACCTAGGGCACACGCAGCATTTTAGTATGCAGAAGTGCGAAGCTAACGGGAACGGTTATCAGTTATATAAACGTGGGCATTGCACTTAATATGAATAAAAGCGGATAAAGCATCATCTTTCTTTTCAGACAACTCTGACTGTATTAGAATGAACTTGTACTGGAGAAGTGGAAAAGAAATAGAAGGGTTTTTTCCTCCCTTCACCTCCAGGCAGTGTTAGTGAGCAGTCGCCACTGCCTTCCCACAGCAGACGGTGCTATTGAAAGCCAGTGCAGCCACCCAGACTAGCCTGGGAGCAGGTCCGCTTCTGCAACATCTGAAAGGGACTCTGACCACTGTTAATAACGCAAAAAAAATGCGTGAATGGTTACGACCAACAAAAGCACCGCGAATTTTGCATTGCATCTGAAGAATGACAGCAGAACACAGACATTTGTTTACCTGGGCAATCAAACAATATATAGTCATCCTCCACATGCCCAAGGCTTTCCTCTAGCCAGTTAAAGTTATTGGCAAAGTATTCCATGCAAAACACCAAGCCGCCATTGGGACCGAACCTTAAGGACTCATCTTCCATGACGTCATCCACTTCGATTAGCTCACGGATGTCTGGAACGACAGACAGGCGAGGTGGTTTTAGCTCATTTGCTTACGCCGGTGCCCGGAGGGTTCGGTAAGCGGCCCCCCGCCGCTGCCGGCCCTCACCTGCCATGACGGGGTAGCTGAAGAGCTCGGCCGCCGGGTCCAGGTTGACCACCTGCACGGCGCGGCCCAGCGCCTCGCAGTGCTGCACCATGGTGGAGCAGTAGGTGCTCTGCAAGGCACACACGCGCGCCGTCAGCGACCGACCGCGCCGCTG